ACTGATTTTCGAGTGGTTTTAAGACCCTAACTTTAAACGAGCATATGAAACTCAATTTTTGATGGTTTTAGTTGTTTTTTGTTCCTATGGTTAATGAAAATCATTTTCTAGAGTTTTAAGAAAAAGAATCATCGAAAACAATGAAGAAACGAGGTCAAAGAGCCGTTTTCCGGCCGCCGGTACTGTTGGGGCACTGTAGGAGCCGGAGGTGGCTGATGCTGGCCATCTTGGCCATTTTTTTGGGACTTACTTTTATTGTGGTTGTTTTATCTATTGGACTTAAGATTTTGTCCATGTAACATCTTGGATTTATTTGGGTAATTAATTTAATCACGTCAAATCTAACCAATTAGTATACTATTCTATTTTTATTATATTGTATAAGTTATATTGTTTAATTAATTTAATTTTAAAAAAAATACTATGTTATTTAATTAACATATTTATTTATTTTAGAGAATTAATAGTGATTAATTAATCTTTTCCTAAGTGGTTTATTAAATTGATTAGTAATTTAATAAATGTTCTCTTAGTTGTCGGAATTTGATTTTATCAGTTGTCTAAGACATCTTAATATGAAACATAGGTTTCATTTTGTTGTTAAAAGGATAAATCGACGTTAAGAGTTGTTATCAGACATAGTACTAAAAGGTTTCTTAAATTATTTTGATGATTTAATATTGAGATTAACGTATCGTATTTCCGAGTTAATCAATTATAGAGACGCTTTAAATTAGAGAGTTTAATTTATAAGATCATAAAATGTTTATTTTGATGTTTTAAGCCGTTGTCGAGTTTTAATCATGGGGTTTGACTGAAGTTAGTCGGGATTGACTGAGTTGACCAAGGGTTGACTTTTGACACGTTTGACCCATGTGGATTTTAATGATGGGTCAAATAGAGTTGTTTGAGGCATATTAAGATGCTCGGATATGAAGTTTGACTTTAGGTTGGGTCAGAATGACAATGGTTGATTTTTGTGGACTTTTTGAGAAATTAAGACGTTAATGAGATATTATGGTATGAAATGTGTAGGCATTTGGTCAAGAGCTATCGGTAGCCAATCTATACGCAATCAGGTGAGTCTTCATGAGACTTACCAATGGGATGCATACCTATGTATAAATTTATTTTCGAGCATTATATGATTTATATGGTAATATGTACATATGCATGATGTTTCAATTTACATACATGATATATTTTACATGTATGTTATTTTATGATCAGTTGTCTCCTATGTATTTATTTTGTTTTCAAATAACTATAGCATGTTATTTCATATGAAAGTTTTCTGATTAGTTTTAGCGGGTGATCATTTGACCAAGTAAGTCACATGACAAGTGGCACAACCCCGAAATGAGTGTCTAGACAGGTGCAGGTCGGACAACTCAGGGAATGCCAATGACTAAATGACTCATACCCGACAGACAATTTATGAGATCTCTTTTCTTTCAGTGTTGCATGTTTTTCAGAAAATGCATACTATTTGGTACAAAGTTTACAAGTTGATATGTATAATGTGAAATGATCTTTACTCATGCAAACCATGAACTCACTGAGCTTTATAAGCTGACTATAGTATGCATCTTAGGGACAGAACGTTTCAGGTTGGACAAAGAAAAAGAAGGGCATACATAGAGACTTGTCTAGTCCATTTAAGTTCAATATTTAGGTGCAATCATCTATGATAGATAAATTTGTAAAGCAACCCAGTAAGGGACGGGCTGACATTAAGTTATATATTTATTCATTTAAAGTCTTCCGCTGTAAACGGTCTAAAATTTTAATTTAGCTATTATTTTTGAAGTGTTTTTGGAGAATTTGTTTCAGATTACGTAACATTTCTCATGGTAAAAACTATGGGCGTTACATTAATATTGGGAAGTAAATCGGTAATTTATGTTATTCAGACTGTTGATTCAGATAAAAAAAAGTAAACAACATCATCCATTTATCCAGACAGAAATATTTATTCGGACAGACAAATTTATCCATACATTACTTAATAAAAAAATTGGTAGACCACCCCCAAGTAAACTTTGAGACTAGTATGATACCAATTGTGGTACCACAGATGGTGTGATACCAACTAGTGATGGCCAAATCGACCAGGGACCGCCGAAGGGCCGGGACCGGCAAAGGACCGTTATGAGACCAAAAACCGGGACCGATTGGGGTTTTTGGTAGTTTATTGGGACCGGCTATGGCCCGGCCCGGCCCGGCCCGAAAATTTATAATTTTTTTTAAATAAATGTATTTTCAAATAATTTTATAATGTATTTTTATAAGACAATGTAATTTTAATTATATTAAAACGAATTTTTAAAGTGTATTTGAGTGATCCAATTGTAAATCTTATAATGTATTAAAAATATATATCATTAAAAAATTATAAAAAAATCTTATTTTTTAATGTCAGGACCGGTTGGGACCAGGACCGGCGGCCCATAACCGGTTATGAAGTACCTTGACCGGTCATACTATTTTCGGCGGTACCGGTTTTTGGCCATCACTAATACCAAATGTGGCAGGGACGGGAGAAGGGAGATAGGTAGTGAGGGGGTCACAGGGAAAAAGATGGGGTGAGCTGTCGGGAATGCTCACAGGTGGGTGTTTAATGGTCGATCATCGGATATGATGTCTTGGTCAGACAAGATGACCGGAGGAGGTAACCAGAGTGGTGAAGGGTGCCGGAGAAGGCCACCGGATTTGGTCCATGTGTGTGTGTATATATATACATATATTAAACTAATTAAAGTAAATTAAATAATCAATACAATTTACTAATTTATCATTTGTTTTATTTTAGTAAATAACATTAATTATCTAAAATGATTGGCTCATATTAGACCTCACATTTACCACAAACTATCTAAATCTCATTTGATTAGGCACCTATATATATGTATGTATGTATAGGGAAAATCTTAAACGATAACACTTTTATTTTACTAGTACGTTGGAACACCATTTTACTATAGTCAATCACATGTGATTAGGGGTGCTCAAAAACTCGACCAACCCGATCAACCCAACTCAACCCAACACGAAATAACCCAACCCGAACCAACTCGATGTCTAATCGAGTTGTAAAATTGTCAAACCATAGGTATTGGGTTACTATTATTTGAACCCAACCCAACCCGATGAACCCGATATCCTTTTATTTCTTGGATTTAATATGATTGTTGAATTTCTATTAATATATACATTACACAATTACACCATCATGTGTGCTTTTCATATACACATATTTTCAATCTATTCACATCTCTATATAACTCATTCGTATATATGTTCAGTAACTGTGAACATATATATGTAAATTGAGAAAATTAACTGAATGTGATATACGTAAGAAATATGGATAAGTTGTATCAAATGGTTGATGATGAAAAAGAAATTATAAGTAGAGAAATAACATATTCAAGGTTAAAATAATATTTTAACGTACCAAAGTATTAACTCGACCAACCCGTACGGGTTGGGTTGGTTTGGGTTGGTTTGGGTTGCATTTTGGTTTGGTTTGAGTTGGGTTAAGATTTTTTCAAACCGCAAACATTGGATTGAGTTGTTCAAATGTCTTCAACCCAATCAATCCAACCCATGAGCACCCTTACATGTGATACTAAATTAAAGACGCAGATGATCCTTGGCTTGACCTAGGTTGCAGGCCAAGTCACCCTCACACTACTTGGACCCATAACATGTATCATACATGTGATAAAAATGTTATTTATGTGATACTATAATCCATCACATGTGATATTAAATCAGAGACACAGACGACCTTTGACGCGCCCTAGATCACAGGCCAAATCATCCGCAACACCACAAAGTCCACTCACGTATATCATCAATTGGCAAGGAATGGGGATATAAATCTCATCATGACACAAAAATTGGCCAAAAGTATCTAATGCCTAAATAAACCTAAACATGGAATTCCCCTCCCTACCCAAACATAAGAAGATAAATGTACGAGAGAGATAAGCATTTCACTAAAATGATATTCAAGATACAATACCGGTGACAAAAAGTCAACTTCCTTCAATTATCATTTCCATTAGTATTTTTCCACTGGCTTTTTAAGCTACCTCAAGTAACCAATCAATATCTTTGCGAAAATGACTTACCATACAACAAAAACCATCAGTAATCAGAATACGACCTAAATATAGTATGAATGAAGGATGTAACACAATTTATGTTGAATATATACAAGCTAACCGAAACTAATATGTAAAACAACTAATTAAACAATAAAAATATGTACAAAGTAATGGGCTAACATATTCTTGATATAAACAACTGTGTTTGTGTCTGTTTATTTAAATGTCAAACGAACATAAATGAACACGTAAGCAATCACACCGGGGGGGGGGGGGGGTGGCTAGGGGCACGATTACGTGAATTGAGAAAGTTTGAAATTTGACTCGTGAAGAGTAAATTGGATAACAAAGTAAAAAGAATAACGTATGATATGTTACTAGTTAAGTAGCCATGCAATGCAACGATTCTAAACTTCTTTTTGAAAAAAAAAATAAGTAATATAGAAAAAGAGAAGAGAATATGAGTTTTATATTGAAGATAAAGGAAGTAAGCACAAAGAAAAGAACATATACCCAAACTCATTTCTTTCTGGTCCACAACTTCAAAAACAATAGAATAGAATAAGGGGTTATTTCATAGTTATTGAATGGTTTGATGCAGAGAATGATTAAGTTATTAGAATAATTAAGAGATCTTATGATATAATGCAAAATGAAATATAATTGTTCGGTAATTGTTTACAATGAAATTAATGCGTTGAATAGTTAAGAGAGACTCATGATACAAAATCATTTAGAAAGTTTTAGAATTATTAAAAGGTAAAAAAAAATTTATCAAACAAAATTTATTTATTAACGATTCAAATATTGATTTTTAATAAAACTATTAAAAAATAAACAATTAACTATTAAACCAACTCGAATTTATGAAACCCAAATGCATAATGAATAATGCCGTTGTAAACGTGTTTGGAGTAAATAGCCGTGTTTGTTACCTGCTCTCCAGGTAACCGGTCATCCCGCCGCGTCGTCTTCTACTATGCCACTTTTCCTTTTCGCGCTCCAAACCCTTCTTCATCGATTCCTCCAACTCAAAGAAACCCTAAAAAAACTGCAGATAATGAAGAAGAATTATCCATGAGAAGATCGACTTCACCCTGCAAAAATCCATCAGCAATGAAATGTTATTACCCCCAATTTACCCTTCAATTTCTTCTCTTTTTACTCATTTCCTCTAACAACCCTCACTCGACCCTTATCGGTGCTAACCACACCTCCGCTCGATTCTGTTCCCGCTAGTTCAATTCATACCCAACCCAGTTCAATTCATACCCGACCCAATTCAATTCACGATGGAGCCGTCCACTGGAAAACGTGGCTTCTTCCGAAACGTTATGGTTCGATTTTTCGTTTTCTCTCTTCTCGTCGTCGGCGTTAGGTTTGCTTATGTTATCACCATTCGTGGCGAATCTTGTCATGTCGGCGATGAGTTATGTTTTTTCTCGTCATCTAATTTGATTGAAAATCAAAAACTCGTCACGGCCGCCGGCGTCGGACACGTTGGCTCGTCGTCTTCGGTTATCCTCCACCCGGCTGCTGCATCGTCGCCGGAGTTTCAGAAACGGGTGATGTTCTATATCACCGTGTTTCAGGATCTGATCGTTGATGGATTTCTATCGACGAAATCGAAGTCTCTTTGCGTCGAAACCCCCGTCGGCGACGACGTCTACGCTTTGAAGGAGATTGGCGTTGATGACGCCGTGGGGATTTACAAGAAAGCGGCGAAGCCTTTGGTGATTAATGGGTTAGCGTTTCGGCAGCCGTTTAAGGATAATACGTTTGATTTCATATTCTCCGGCGCAGGTGGATTGGACCGATCGGAAAAGGCGTCAGAGTTTGCCGCAGAGGTTGGACGGACGCTTAAACCCGAAGGGTATTTCGTCGTTCATACAGCTTCCAAAGATACGTATAGTTTCAATTCGTTTATTGGTTTATTTAATTGCTGTAAATTCATACGTTCGCGTCACATGGACGGATTTGATTCTGATATGACTGAAATTCGAGAAATTGTGATGAAGAAACAGAATCCCATCAAAATTAACAAAAAACCCAATCAAATTTTGAGCAACAAATGCGTTGTTCCTGGCTATAAACAAGATTTAGTCAGGAGAGCTGAGCCATTGATCACAAAAGAACCATTGAAACCATGGATCGAGTTGAAGAAAAACATTCAGAATGTGAAGTATTTGTCTTCAATGGTGGATATCAATTTCAAACAAAGATATGTATACATAGATGTTGGCTCTCGCAGCTACGGTTCCAGTATTGCTAGTTGGTTCAAGAAACAGTATCCAAAGCAGAACAAAACCTTCGAAATATACGCCATTGAAGCAGATAAGCATTTTCATGATGAATATAAATTAAAGAAAGGCGTAACCCTTTTGCCTTATGCTGCCTGGGTTAAGAATGAGAGCTTAATCTTTGAGATTAATCAAACCCCAGGTGACGAAAATGTAGAAAAAGGGCGGGGGATGGGGCGGATTCAGGCTGTGGAGATGGGTGGTGGTGGGATTGTAGGTTCTGTTGATGAGATACAGGGGTTTGATTTTGCAGAGTGGTTGAAGAGTAGTGTCAGTGAGAAAGATTTCGTGGTGATGAAGATGGACGTGGAAGGGACTGAATTCGATTTGATTCCAAGATTAATCGAAACTGGAGCAATTTGTTTGATTGATGAGGTTTTTCTTGAGTGCCATTATAACAGATGGCAAAGATGCTGCCCTGGTGTGAGGAGTCCAAAATACCAGAAGAGTTACAGCCAATGTTTGGATCTTTTCAAGTCTTTGAGACAAAGAGGAGTTCTTGTTCATCAATGGTGGTAACTGGTAATAACCCTTTTCATTCTTATCATCCATACTGTAAGTGTTGTAAGTTTGAATTCCTATGCATTCATTTAGATTTGCCACAGAACAGAAGTTCTTATATTTCAGTTTGATCGTATTATGTTTATATGTTATTTGGATGTTTTAGTTTTCATATTTTGATTTTTCGAGTTTGATCATGGTGGCTTTCGCTATTGAATGATTCTTCCAGTTATGATATCGTTTGCTACATTTCTTCTATTGATGGGCACTAAGCTCGAGTGTCTAGAACCGCCACCAGTTATGCTTAATAAAAAGCCAAAACGATGTTTAGGCCATGTTTGGCAACTAAAGAGTAGCTTATTTTTTGAGTTCATTAAAAGACCGTTTTGATTAGCAATGCTTTAAGAGGAGGGGGGGGGGGGGGTTCTTCACTTTTGACCGATACTTTGAGGCTTCCATTCAAACTCCAAAACCTAAACTTGTCTTCCCCGCTCATTGCCCATGCTTCAATTTGATGTAACTCCTTGTAGCGTTCTATGTACTTGAACCAAAACCGAAACCTCAATAGACAACATCAGCCATATCGTGGGTTTATCATCTTTGTAGAGTTCAAGGGCACACGGCCAAGCGCCTTTCTTACAAATTACAAGTAGTCTCAACCAACACCACCGCCTTCAATCCCTCATGACAACCCAAGGCAAATTTTGCAGCAACATCCAACAAGAATGAATTAGCCCTGGCTCCTGGATGGTGGTGCGTCCCATCACATAAGATCCGACTTGGAGCACCTCTCTCTGCACAACTCTGTCAATTACTTACACAGGTTCTACCACCATTTCCACCTTGGTCGAAATCTGGTATTTTGGAGCTCCAAAAAGCAAGAGATGATGGCTAGATCATCCACAGAGGCCGAGTATAGATCAGTAGCAAATAGGAGCTGAGGTAAAATGGATTTGCTCATTACTCTTTGAATTGCACATTATGGTGCCTTCCTGTCCAGTAATCTATTGCGACAATGTCGGAGCAACACAACTATGTTCTAATCCCGTGTTTGCTCGCTAATGAAGCATGTAGCCATTGATTTCATTGTCATACGCCAACGAGTTCAAAGTGGGACTTTACGAGTAGCACATGTGTCATCCACTGATCAGCTAGCAGGCACTACAAAGGCACAACCGAAGCCAATATTTATTCTTCTTAAACACGAGATTGAACTCGTTTCTCGAGATTAAGGGTGTAAATGATGCGAGTCGAGCTCGAGTATTACTATACTCGACTCAAACTCGAAACCCAATTTTCAAGCTCGAACTCGACTCGAAAACTCGCGAGTAGTAAAAATCAAAGCTCGACTCGAACTCGATAACTATTTCTCAAGCTCGAGTTCGAACTCGAATCAAGCTCGAACTTGAGCTCGAAACAAGCTTGAACTGCAACTCAAATCAAGCTCGAACACGAGCTCGAACCAAGCTCGAACCAAGTTCATCCATTGAAATTTTAGGGTCTTTCTCTTATAAATTTTAAAACTTAAAGGTGTTCTATTAGTTTTTATAAAACTAATGGGATCAACTTCAAACTTTATTATCAAAAAGACAAAGTTAGAAATTCTATCACCTCCCTCTAGGCATGGCAACTGGGCGGGTTTGTAATCCCCGGCCTCGGTTTGTAGTAACGTCTCCCGGCGGGTACGGGGATTATTATCCCGTCCCCGGTCAAATCTCTAGCAATACCCGGTCAAAACTCGGTAAAACCCCAGTCAATCCCTGGTCAAACCTGTAAATTGTATCCTTTAGTTTAATTTTACCGGGGATCCCTGTCCCCAGGACCCGTTTTAGCGGGGAATCTCTGTCTCCGTTCGGGTCGGGTGAACCGGGTTCCCCACCGGGTCGAAGCAAATCACCATCCCTACCTCCTTCTCTCTTTTTATAATATTTTTTTTCCTTTCATTTATCATCTCTCTTCCAATATGGGACAATTTCATTAATCTTTTTTGTAGTTTTTCTGTCTTTTTAATTGTGATTTTAATAAAAAATAATTAATTAATTTTTATAATTAAAAAAATGCAAAATTTTGTTTAAATATCTAAAAGTATAAGACATTTTTATTATTTATATCTTAAAAATGTTATCATTAAAACTAATTATATTTTAAAACTAATTATATATAAAATAATCGAGTATCTCACGAGCTTTTCGAGTAGAGTATTGAGTAACTTGACTTGACTCATTAATATGTCTCGAGCTCGAGCCGAGCCAATTCGAGTTGAGTGTTGACCGAGCTTTGACCGAGTCGATCTCGAGTAGCTCGTGAGTTGTCTCGTATCGTTTATAATTACACCCCGACTCGAAATCCATCTTTTGGGGGGGCATTGATAGAGGATACTGGATCTTATTTAAACCCAAATCCCTTGATTTGCTCATTCAAATGTTTTAAATTTCTTCTTGTTAACTGATGCATGGGAATAGGAAAAGTTGCATAAATCGCTGTTGTGATTTAAACCCTTTGTTCATTCTTTCGGTTGTTTCTTGGAACCAAATATTAAGAACAAAGACTATATATGCACACGGGTGTTCCAAACAATCGGAAATCGAGCCAAACTGTCTTATCCGAAAGCGAACACCAGATAACTGAAAAACCGGGTATTCACGGGTTATTTCGATTTTGAATTACGGGTAGCTTTGTTTGACTATAAAAACAAACTTGCTAAATTATTTCACAAAATTAGTATAGATTCGTTTGTTGGCTCCATGTCCTTGCACACAAGTGACCTATGTTTGAGTTCATGCTCCAAATTTTTTCTAAAATATAAAGAAAATATCAAAATTTAAGTTGAAAACTCAAAAATTTGACAAAGGTGACACTTAAACCCAGGGTTTTTTTTATTATTAATCGTAGGGCTTGAATAATATTTACCAACTCTGCCATTAATAATTGTATCAAAGCTTCAGTTTGAAAAACCATATGGTGACACCCAACAAAATAATATGATAGCATCCTTTAAAAACGTAATGTTTTCTTTATATGGAATAGAACCATGAAGCAGTAGCCCGTACCCTCCGTATGGGCCTATGTAGGTCCGCCCATAACTATTGGTACCCGACATGACTCGAACTTCCCCAAAGTTGTGTCAACTATCGTGGTGAATGTTAAAATTTGATAGTATGAAATTCTAAACGAGTCTAACATTAAACAAAGATTTTGGATGTTTTTAAAGAATTAAACTTATTTTGATTTGTAATGTTTGGAATATTTTTGTCTAGTTATCATGTAACTGGTTTAAATATTTTATCTTAATATGGATTTTATATTACTAATGATATCTTTTATAAATGTGGATAATCGTGAATCGAACCCCGTCTTAGGTTCGGGTTTGGTTTAGGTACCTTAGGTTACAGTTCTGCATAGAACCGAATCGTGAACACCTATGAGTAGCCGTTGGGTGCTGATTTAAAGCCTTAAAAGATGAAACATTCGACCTTGGAATCGGTGAGACAACAATGGTTGTAGAACTGATAAGATGAAACGCTCCAAAAGATGGTTATCACATCTGTTTTTTTATTAACCTGGATATCCAACCCGCTATGCGAGCCGACTAATCCTAATACGACCACTTGCTTTACAGATAGCCTGGAGTCATCGCATTTGAACCTCCGTGGCCACAAGGGTATTTTTATTTCTTCTTGGATTTGAACCTGTGACCTCCTGGTACCTTTGACCTTTAAAACCAAACTCAAACCAATCAGACACCACCCTTATGGTGGTTATCATATCTTTGTGGATCAACAACCTAAAAGAGTTGTAAAATTAGAGTTGATAGGCAAGTATTGGGCACTATAACTTATTACATCTCACATATAACCATTACATTCATTATACACATATATCTACAACTTTAACATCTTATTATTATAGCTTATTAGCTTCCATTCCAACACCATGCTTTGCCACCTCTACTCATATGTTTCTACTTTCTACTTCTACAAACAAAAAAGAGCATAAATTCATGAATCCAGATCCCATATGTCTGAAACAGAGACTGTTTGTTACCTCAGTCCTCATGATCCCATATATCTGCTACACTCCTGTATGGTCCATCCTTCTTGTTCACAAATAGTTCTTCACCGCTCAAAACTCGCTTCTGTAATCAACAAATATGCTACGTCTTTAGGGTTTTAATTCGACATTTACTCTTCTTTATCCTATATTCCTGACCTTTGTTCAAATGGGTTTGACAAAACATTCTTTATGCTAGTCTAAGGGGGTTATTTGGTTGGTTTTCCATTTAGTGTGGATTAACATGTCTGTATAGGTTTATTGAGAGGGTTTTTTTATAGATGGAACGAACGTGCTTTTAATTGAGAGGGGCAAGTTCAGAAAAAAAAAAATTGACTTTCTATATAAAGCTTCCCCTAGAAGCTTAATAAATAAGCCACACTACCAAACAATAATGTATAACAAACCAGATAAGTTGCAAGTCCCATGAAGCTGCTGACAATCATGCTCTGAATGTCCTATGAAACTACCAAATACACCCAATAGAGAAACACAAACCTGATCTGGGATGTTGCTTAGAACATTGAAATCCTGTTCAGGAAGTTCCCAATTGAAGACATGCATGTTTTCGTTGATCCTATCTGGGTTTGTCGATTTGGGTATCACACTTGTCCCTCGTTGGATCCCCCATCTCACTAGCACTTGCCCTGGGCTCTTATTTAACTTCCTTGCTACTTTCTCTACCGTCGGGTCATGAACAAGATCTCGCCCGTTGTCTTGTGAACCCAACGGTGAATACGCCTAAAAAATCGACATCGATAAAATGAATGAGACATCAAGCAAATACCAATGGTGGTTTTAGTACGAGTTCGGTGATCCTACAGTGACATGGATCCCGTTCTTCTTGCATGCTTCCAGCATTTTATCGTTCCGCCATCCAGGATGCATCTCCATCTAAAGATTTTAACAAAATGATCGAAAAAAGCAACTTAGAAGCATGATTAAACAACCCGAATAATGACATTAGATGCAAAAAGGTTGTAGCCTGGATCCTCCTCATAAGGATTGCTAGTTTGAGAGTCCTCATGGCCATTGGAGATTTTTGTGGCCGTTTCTTTCAGGGCCTCATGGGATTAATCGATAGTTCGAGGCTCCTCAGGAGTCTCATGGCCATTGGAGATTTTTCTGGTTGTTCCTTTCCGGGCTTCATGGGATTAATCGATATGCATACAAGCTGGGCTGAACACTGAACACCCACGGTTACAAAAAAACAAGAAAAAGGTGGTTAAGTGTGTAACCTGGCAGACAGAAGGCATTGTTCGAGCGAAAGTGGTCAGCTTATTGAGCTTCTTTAAAGTGAAATTGCTGACGCCAATGTCTCGAATGAGACCTTCCTTTACAAGATTCTCCATTTCTCTCCAAACCCCTTCCATATCGAACTCTAAAACATCTCCGGCCTTCGGTGGTTTGCTGGCTCCGTCTTTGAGACGAAATGGCCAATGGATCTGTAGACAACATTAGAAGTTTTGAAACTTCTTGCAATGCAACAACTCTACTTTTCTAGGTAGATGCAGGGACGGGCCCAAAGAAATTTTCAAACAGTGACACCATTTGATTATAAAAAACAAATATAGGAAAAATAGATTCGAACGTTGACACCATTTGACTAAGAAAATAACACTAACATGATTCAAACTCTGGTCTAGGGTGGAAGAAAGGCCTTGCAGACCAACTCTAAAAAAAGAACTTGTTTTCATTGTAGTTTCAAAACACTTACGATGGTACACAATAAATTAATATAGTTGTACCTTTTCCGAACCTAAATTTTTTCACCTTTCAACAAAAGAATAATACGGTGGCATCATGTTGGGTCCATCCATGGGTAGATGGCAGGTCTATTTAAATCATAACTTTCAAGACGGGCTCGTCAAACATGCGATTTTTTGATTGGAGATGTGCACAAGAACAGATAAGATTACCAAATAAAGATCAAGGTAGTCAAGCTGAAGCTCTTGAAGTGTATTGATAAGGGCCGGACGAACTCTTTCTGGGGACAACTCAGTACACCTACATGCACCTCATTTTATATCAAAATCAGATCAAATCATGTATTAAAAATATAAATTAATAAACAGAAGTGTATTTAAATTAAATAATATTGAAAAGCATATACCATAACTTAGATGTGACAAAGAGATCTTTCCTTTCAATTCCTGCATCTATGGCTGCCCTCAGACCATGCCCCACCTACAAATATTTCATAAATACATCAATCATTTGCATTTTTAATACATGAACTACCACAAAAAGAGTTTATTTAGTAAAAAGACTATTCTTCTATAACGTAACGAATGAGCGACAAACCGAACCTCGTTGGTCTGTTCGATCCCGTGGATTAAGTTCATTAGAAAAACCCAAATACATAAACTTCTCTTTTCATTAAATCGTATGTTGGATCAACCGTCACGATGAATTTTTGAAAATTCTAATTACCTCTTCTTGAACACCATACTCCCACGCCGTATCAATATGTCGATAACCGGCCTGCATTCACCGTCGTATTTCAAGACCGAAGTCATCAGTCATAGTTAATTAACCAAAATTTGTAAATAACTGAATTGCAAAGTTTTAACCTAATTCAATTTTCATAAATAATCGAGTAATTATTACAACAAAATTAGGTTTATAGCAAAGCTAAAATGTCCAAGTATGCCAATAGAACTTTTATACGATTTAAGAACATCTCTAACAAATTCTACAAAATGGAAAATGAAACTTCAAAATCTTTAAAACAAAAATTCATTTAGTTTCACCAGTTTTTTTCATTTTAGAGATTACAACATTAATTATATTATAAAAATATTTCATATATCTAACAAAATATTATTTCCCTATCTAAATATCTGATTTTAAAGTTTCCCATTGGTGTTTCTCTCTCATTACAGTCATTTTCGGATGTTATTCAAATTTGGAGATTTTTATACCCCTCAAATCTTTCTCAAAAAAATAACGAAAGAATTGAGAGAATTTGTTGTAGCAAAAACATGTCCAAATTTCTCAAAATCTCTATTTTCTCCGTTTTTGATGAATTTATTGGAGATGCTTTAAGTTTATAAGATAAAATAATAAACAAGCTCTATCTAAAAGTATTTTAATAAGTTTAAAAAATATTTTTGGATACTTTAATAAGAGGTCATTTGAAAGTTGCTGAATGATTTGGTGCAGTCGTCATAATGATTTAGAGGTTTTCATGTTATAATGCAAAATAAAATATATTTGTTTGGTATTTGTTTACGATGAAATTAGGGAGCTAAAAGGTTAAGGGAGAACTAGGATACAAAATCATTCAGAGGATTTTGAAACCTTTAAAAGACAAAAAAAAAATTGCTAAACAATATTCATCTTTTAACGATTCAAAGACTACATCTTAATAGAACTATTAAGAGGTAAACAAACAACCCAAAATCATAGAAGGTTTTAGAACCATTAAAATACAGTTTTTTTATCAAAAAAAATTTACTTTTTAACGATTCAAAAACAGTCTCTTAATAAAATTATTAAGAAGTAAACAAACAACCTCTTAATAAATTTTAAGATATTTTTAATATTAAAATATTGTATCAACTATTTAATTGATATTTTTTTATACGAAATTTGTGAATAATGTCATATATAAAGTAGATAACTGGGGACACAATTTGACTATGTAAACTTAAGTTGCAGGTGGTGGACCTCAAGAACAGCAGTGGCGACGGAGTAGGAAGCTTGGGAACCTGATCTCCATGTCCCCAATCCAACGGCCGGAATTCTGTGTCCGCTTAACAGCACAAACGAGTGTTCTTCTTTCTTTGCTCTCAATGTTGATTGAGCCATTATTATATATATATATATAATTCCTGCGATTAATATTATATATACTGTATATATATAGGTATATGGATGGATGAAGAAGAAGGTGGTGGTGAAACTATATATATATATATATATATATATATACACGAGATGGATGGTGGCAATTGGCATGGCTAACCACGTAGCGCATGCTTTTCTGTGTCATCAACACTCTGAATTGCTTTCTCGCCACGTTGATCTTCCATCTTCATGGATCAAGAATCATGATCATGGCTGGCACACACGTGGCATTTTTTCAACTGCCTCTCGATTAAACTTAAACCCACAATTGGAAGACGAAGGATCATTCGGAAAGAGAGTTAAAATGAGAAAAAGAATGAATTTGAGTTTTTTTATTATCTTTAATCATAAATTTATTTATGAATCGTGTTTGATATGAGAATTGATTTGATGTATATTATTCTGATGTATCTTATCTTAATGTATTTTCAAACATGGATGTCTCTTCTTACGCTTATTATCTTAACTTTTTTCCGGATCAAAAGTTACAAAACATATAGCAAACTTCATGATCTCAAGTCAAATGACTAACTGTACAATGAGCATATGGGAAACTTCATGATCTCATAGCAAGTCACGTCCTGCATACAAGATCTCATCTTGTATCTATATGTGGATTATGTATATATCTCCATATGAATCTCATCATATACTAACCGTACCGTATTAATTCAACCTCAACTCAAATTAATACTTGACTATGACTAAGGACATTTTAGAATCCATTATTCTAATGTTATTATTACGTTTAAATATAATACAAAATAATACGTGAATACAATAATTAAGCAATGTCTTTCATTAATTAATATCATAACACAATATCCAAAATGAATCATCCAATAATTGGCTTTTGGACATACACACTAACTTGTACATAGTTGAAGCTTACAGTTAAGAGAATATTTTGAACTTTTAAACATCGTTTATAGACATGAAATCAACTTCATCTGTTCTTGCTCCAACTCTCTTGGAACGCGTTTTAAGCCAAAAACTTCAATAAAATCCGTCTTAATGATTAAAGATTTATAGATGCTTTCAGTTTTAACATTTAATAGTTTGACCTAGTCATTTATAAGATAGTATATATATATATATATATATATATATATATATATATATGGGATGCTCACATTTGAGTTGTCACTAGTTTCTAAAAAACAAAGTAATGATTAAAGTGGTAATAAGTGATATAAACAAAGTCAAAAGTACTAGGAAGAAGTTTAAAAAGTTAAAGTCTCTATTAAAGTTAGTGTCCAATTTTAACTTTTATTTGCAAATTACTTTTGAAATTTAATTAATAGGCGTGTATGTGTATGTGTATGTGTATGTGTGAAATTAAAAGCAAACCATAGAATTGTTACAAGAAAATGATTGTGTTATATGAGAGATGCACCAACAAAATGATTGCATACAGGAAGCTTCTAATATTTGACAAATATGTATTAAAGTTACTGGAAATTTTTCAGATGTTTTTTAAGGGTTTTGTTGGGTTTAGTCAATGTGTACACACCACCTACAATTAATAAAAAGAAAAAGAAAACAAGAAGCAAGAAAAGGATTGGGTAGAGGAATTTTCGAACATAGGTCATGCTCGATGGATAAGGTTTCTGAGTGTCACACATTGTATTCTTTGTCCCAAGTGTCAAGCTTCTGTTCGGTCTAGGCTAAAACCAGTTGTCTTACCGCTATCTAGACTATTTTTATAACTTATTATTATTATACAGTAATCCAACAATGGTAGAGGTTATCTAACCTTGTCTTCATCAAAAATTCAAGTTCTGTTAAAAACAAATTTCTTCATAACAGAGGATGTATAAACAAAACGTTGTGAACGTATTACCATAACAAAATCGTGGATCTCTAGTGTTTTGATTACTATTCTTGTGTTCAACAACGTACTGATCGAAGACAATATAAGACCTAAAGAACAAGATTTTATACGTGTGATTCAATGCTTGTTTCACGTTGATTTCTTGGTTGTTTATACATTATCGTTTGTAAGTCTAAATAGGAACTGCTTTTCAAGTATGCACGATATCAATATACAATAATAGAGCATTTACGAGTGTTATATGTATTATTTTATCTTACAAACAAATTTTCATATTACAATTTTTATATTATTATCTGAAAATATCAAATAATATGTGTATGAGATTCAATTAATCAAATCGTTCTCTTTAATTAAAAAATCTCAATTATTTATGATGTAATATTTAAGTTTATCCATATATTTAAGTTACATTACTTTAAAAATAGGATGAAAATGGTAGACATAATTGAATTACATTTTTGGTCCCTATAATTTACCTAAAAATTGATTTGTCTCTTTTAACAGTTGCTAATTGATTGTGTTAACTACAGAGACCATAAGAGAGGGTTTGGTTCGTAGGATTCTGATGGAATTTGAAGAAATTGGAATGATCAATTGCATTGACCAAATTCCGTTCAGTCATTTGGTTTTACCTATGGAATGGAATTGAATTTCACATATTCTATCATTCATAGATTTGGTCATTCCATCACAATTGAGAAGGAATTCAATTTCATTTCACCCCATTTATTCAAAAAGAGAACTTTATCCCCATCTTTCCTACTTGATCTGAACCACCGTTGACCGTCGACCGTCGCCTAACCACCACTGATCTAAACCACCGCCGATCACCATTGATCTGAACCATTGTCGACCACCACTAATTTGAACCATCACCGATCTGAACCACTACCAACATGAACCACTACAGATCTAAACCACCGGCGACCACCATCGATCTGAACGACCGTCGATCTACCTAGCTGAACCACCAATCATCTAAACCACCGTCGATCTCCCCCAATATAAACCACATTAGTTCGATTTCGGTTTCAAAATTTTCAAAAAAAGGTATTTTGGTCATTTACTAATATTTCATTCCAATTCCAATTCCAAAGCTATATTATGTGAACCAAACAGATAGATTCTAATTCTTTTAACATATTTCATTCCAATATTTGTCAACCAAACATATGGTCAAACCTCATAACATTCTATTTCAATTCCTTCAAAATCAAATTCCTTTGATAAATTTCATTTCATCCAAAAACATTCTACAAACCAAACGTCCCTTAAGTGTTATGAAATTGAAAAGTTAGAGACGTATAGATAGTTCATTTTAGAGATCAAATTTAAAAAATTTAACCATGAATATATTTCACTCAAAAATAAAATATAATATTTTAAATGACATTTTTATTGGATTAAAAAGTAGCAATTTAAGAAAAGAAATCAATCATCACTTTAAATTTTGTCCTTCAATTCTCTCTCATGCGAAGAGGTAGGCTTTACTTTAAGCTGCAAAATCAATGCCGATGTACCAAAAAATAATGAATATAATAATGATTAAAAAATATATAATTTAAGCCATATATTTGATAAAAATCATTTTCTTTATTAGAAAAATATAATTAATATATAAAAAGTCATTTTTTCACTAGAAAATAAGTATGATCAGAAAAAAAATGATTGAAAATAAAAAGCAAAAATATAAACAATTATATTTTGCGAATTATAATTTTCAAAATTACACATAAAAAAACTATAAATTAAAATCTCTCTTTAGTAATCATAAATGTTGACTTGAAATTAGTGTACGTTACGATTGAAATTTGACGTGTTATTAAATTATATCATTGAAATAGACTGATTGATCTCTAGTTAGGTCATTTTTTAAAACTGGGAATTAATCATTTGATAACTTTATGATATGTAAAATCGGTGAGGTCCATCTTAAACCACTAATTTAAGATAACTGATTAATAAGGTAATTAAGAAGATAATTATCGTTGTTTATAAATAAAATTAATGCATTTTTTTAAAAAATTTCATATTTATTTCCATCTTAACATACACATTGTGCATACAAGGTGAACACATTATGGACACAATGTAAACAACCTTAATATTTTTTATTAGGGTGTTCACAAGTGATATATTTAGATTTAGTTTTATTGATTTAGTTTATGCTTGAGCTATGTTCATAAATTATATCAGATCTCATATATTAAAGTGTATTCACAAACAGTAATAAAATTTATAAAAAAATATTTACAATATATTTATAAAAGAAAGATGGATGTAAAAATACTAGAGATGAGAGAGAAGTAATAAATTAAATTAAATAACGTTATTTTTATGCAATTTAACTACTAAATTATACAATAAATAAAATTATATTTGTTAATAATACATTTTTTATAAACAATTATTTGTCCAAAATATTGATGATCTAAAAGTGTCATCCAATATATTTTAATTTTTATTTTAAATAGTTTTTAGTGAAACGAGGTGAAAAATCTCATTTATCCTCGGTTCAAAACAAGCACAGTTAAAGTCTTTGCAATAATGAAGTTCATCTGTGATGACTTAAAGCCATTTGTGGTCACCCAGGAACTAGTCTGTACATGTAAGTTGGTTTGAAAGCCCACAATTACTAAAAAAAATCATATTTAGTATATTAATTATTAAAAAAGATCATGGACCAACCTAAATATTTGACCCGACATGTTTTTAACCCGCATTAAAAGTTATCCTTTTTACCCATACTGTGATTTTATTCCAAGTAACCAACCAGTACTACCTGCCTGTTTAACTATTTCCACATGGAACACATAACTCAAAAGTAAAAAAAATTCGTATTTACATAACTTTTCGGTGTTTTTAATTTGAATCTAATAAATAAATGTTATTTGTTTTTTTTTTCAATAATTTTAGGTGTTCAAATAAGTCTGTACGTACTTCGACTAGTCTTATAAGACTTTGAAGTTAACAGTCATAAGAGAAACCTAATTCTTAGAAGTGTCTCGACTTCGTCACCAGTAGGAAGCAAATTTAACGTGTTACCTGTTGAGTTACTCATAAGGATTATAAAAAAACCCGTTAAGTAAGATTTCGTTTTTCAAATTTAAAATGAACAAGAAAATGGTATACATAAAGACCAATTAGCGGGTATTGCTAAATAAATCATCTTATAACACTCTTCGTTCCTGCAGTTTCAAAATCACAAAATGGTCATTGTGGTTTGCAAAAACGTTCACATTTGATCACTTTCTTTAACAGCTATTAAAATTTTTCATTAAATGTGGAGCATTTTTTTCATTGTTTTTTACAGAATCAAAAACCACAGAGACCAAAATCATAAAATCGATTTTGATTCTGTGAAAGAGAAAAAGTCTGATAAAAGAACGATAACGTCTCTCATTAAACAGAACAGTCGTTATAAGAAGAAATCAAATGCGAACGTTTTTTTTCCCTAAAACCAGATAATTACAAATGTGGAGAGACAGAAAAATGATATGGATTCAATTTTCCTTAAAAAGAAAAGGATTCAGTTTTCAAAGAATTTTATAAGAAATTGTGTTCTGAAAAAGTGGGTGGTGGAGTGGACAAATTTTCAAACTCAGGCCTGGACTTTTGATCCCATAGTGTGGACATATGGGCCACCACACCAATTATTTACCATTTCATTTATTATTACTATTTATTTTAAAAATCCAATTTTTTATATTTAATATTATATTTAAATAATTATTTTGCAACACTTTATATAATAAAAATTATTTTTATTAATAATATATTATTACCACTACCACTATCACCCATGATTAAAAAGTAAATTTATTCAAAAATAAGCATATTTATCAAAGAGTAAGTGTTGTTTACAATATACTTACTTGGTAAATGTTTATTCGATAAAAATTTTCATCAGTTGAATAAGAAAAAAGCCAAATATTTTATTGGGTAAGAGCGATGAGAAGGATGAGAGTCTTACCCAGTAAGTAAAGATGACGACTCTTACCTAGGTAAGCGTTTACCCTGTAAATTGTTGCATTCGATACGTTTTGATGTTCTAAAATCTTACGCATCAAAATAAATTATAGCATTGACTTCTATCGGTAAGCACTTACCAGATAAACATTTAGGTAAACAACCCCTAAGTCTGTACTTGTCACATACTATCAGATCATTTTTTTTAACTAATTATAGTTTTAGTTATTGTGGTTGTCATTTTATTTCATTTTGTAAATATTTATTTCTAAAGTAACAAGTATGATACATAATTGTTTTTCTAACCTAACAGATACCTGTGCATGCAAACACACATCATTTATTTATTTATTTTGTTAACATTTTCAACAATTGTATTATTTTAGAAATTTTCAAAACAAAGGAGAAAGGAAAGATAATGAAAAAAAATTTAAATTTAAAAAATAAAAGAGAAAATATAACATACGTGTTAGAGATGCTATGATATCTTATCTGTACATCCAATTTGCATAATTCAAATACAGCGTTATTTCTCAATTACTGTCTCGTTTGCTAATAATAATAAGCTAACATATTTTTTAAATATATTAAAAGTTCTTGTTTTATATTCTCTAAAATTTATTCAATATAAAGAATTAAAAATCAAAATTTATAAACAAATCACATTCAATTCCAACAATTTTCCGTTTAGAATATTATATTATTTAAACATTCAACGTAATTAATGAAATATTATTTATCTCTCGTAAAATTTTAAATTAAAAATTCTCATTGGTAGAAAGTTAAAATCTTGCATAGGAAGTCGATTTGATTCCCTATGAGTTCTGATCTCAATAAGATGACTAATTCTTACTATTCATATAGTATGATATGAATATACCACATCAATTATGGATAATGAGAGGACTCGATCTTGGTACTAGTACGATCAAAGGAGTTTGGGTCGTGTCTCAATCCCATTGTGGCTGATCATCCTCTCGAACCAGCTAAATATATTCGTTCAAGAAGGGCTCCATAAGATGTTGATTGTAAGTGAGAAGTCTCGACTGTGCTACAAGAGGCTCTGAGAAAGTTGAAATAGGAGAGCACTCATTCTTTTGCTGACGTTATTGCAAGTATTCAATATTGGGTCATTCATAGATTTAACTCAAGACCAGTTTTAAACAATAAGGTCATTTTTATATTGAAATATACAAATTTTACATATTCAATCAAAAATTGGTAACTGTTCAAAATATTACTCTCTTTTTCAAAATAAACGTATATTTTTATTTTCGGCAAATTATATGAAAAAATAATGTACTTTAAGTTAATTCCTATTTTGTTAACGTTTTTTTTAACTTTCATTTTGGTACCTAAGATTTAAAGTTTTTTAAACATTTAAGTATACAGGTAACCGGTTGAAGTATTAACCGTTTATCATGCTCATGTGGCGAGTGATATGGTATCCAACTCAGTATTATTTGCTGAAGTGGTTATTGACATGAATTTTTTAAACCTACAATTAGTTTTTTTTTAAATCTAAAATTAGTTTTCAACCGGTTACATGGGTAATTAAATGTTTAAAACTTTACATCTTAGGTACCAAAATAGAATTTTGAAAAGTACGTTACCCAAAAATAGGAATCAAATTAACATACGTTACTTTTTCATATAATTTGCCCTTTTATTTTTATTTATCCTAAACTAAGGGGCCGTTTACCAAACACTTACCCGGTAAGCGGTTACCAATAAAATTTAACATTACCACTTACTTACCGGGTAAGACTTTTGTCCACCAAAACGGCATTGTATGCAACAATTTACCTAGTAAGCGCTTACCATGATAATAGTTGTTGCACTCACCTACCAGATAAGACTCTCAGTCCTTGTCTCTCTCTTACCGGGTAAGATTCTTGGTCCTTACCATTTTCATCCTGTGAGATAATGTTACTTGGTAAGCGCTTACCCGGGTAAGCGTTTGGTAAACGGCCCCTAAATGTCAATTTCAAAAAATAAGTATCTACTTTTGTAAAAGTACAACCAATATAAAAATAATTGAGAAACAGTAAATTCTAATTAATCATACGCTCTTTAAATAAAGATGAATTACAAGTTGATAACTATAAGATACATCAGTTTTAATCTAACTCTAGTATGTTTAATTCAACATCTAGTGGTGGGCATCGTCCGACGAGTGGTAAATTTTGATGGAGTCTCGCTTTTGACAATTATCGATTGTGAGATTAAAAATATTAGTAGCAAAATTATCATATAATTAATTAAAAACTTAATAGTTATCCATTTATAAAACTATATTTTTTTTAGTATAAACATATAATTTAAGAAGAAAAGGTAAATAATAATAATAATTTTAAGTTGGCATTTATTTTGTCCGGTCTCGTTCAATCCCATACTATATGAGCTTTTGACGAGTTATTTAAGCTCGTTTATCTCTAGCTTGAGCTTAGTAACCTCAAACACACTAAAACTCATTTAACTTAACGAGCCGAACTTCATAACACCAGTGTTCGACCCAACTCGTTTGAACGTTCTATTAAATTGTTTGAGTCGAGTCATTTAAGAATACATTTTTTCAAGTCAAACATGTTCATATTATCAAAATTTAAAAATTATTAATGTTGAACCAATAAATGAGCTAACCGATCTCATGTTCGAGCTCGTAAACGAGTATCAAGCTCAAACATTAAAAAACATTCGAACTTGAACTCGAGACCCTATAAAAAAAGTTATTCAAGCTTGAAACTCGAGTCAAGCTCAAACTCGAACCTGATAATGTTTTTCTAAGCCGCACTCGAATAACCTGCAACTTGACTTGAGTCAACTCGTTAACATCTATTGTCCATATACCAAAACCCAACATAAAAAAAGGAAATCCTATCAACCAAATTCATTTTTTGATCTTTTTTCAAAGTCTTTTCCTAATATAGTCGGTCTTTAGGTAAATGGTTTAACCATATACGTAAACAGTGGCGGATCCAGGATTTTTGTTCAGTAGGATCACCTTTAAGGTAGACTAAAGGCCCGCAAAGTCATCCGATATGTTTTTAACCGAATTACAACGTTTCGGGGATATTTAAAGTTTTTTGTTGATTTCGAGAGATTTTTTTTAGTGTTTTTGTCGATTTCGAATAATTTTTTTGGTTTTTTGATTGATTTCAATAGATTTTTTTTTGTTAGAGTAACGATTTCGATTGGCGTTGGGGCTCATGGAAAAATGTAATGGACGGAAGTGAAAGGTAAATCATATAAAACTTAAATTTTAACTTAGTAAATTATTTTTTGAGTTTTTGACTGAGATTCCTCCCCCTGCCTACTGTGTCCGCCTCTGTACGTAAATACTGATTTCTAGAAGAAAAAAAGAAGAATAAGAAAAAGTCCTCACATAAAAACTGGAATTAAATATATATATATATATATGTGTGTGTATATGTATGTATATATTACCTAATGATTCAAATTTGTGTAAGGTGAGACTAATTGTATCCTTTTACATTTTTAAATGCATTTCTATCTAATGATTTTTTTTTTACATATATCAATATTAAAACTTATTTTTTACATTTTCAATGAATAAATCTGATTCTAACATATACAAACGACAATCGCATTTTGATCGATTTCCAAAAAAAAAAAAAGGTTAAGAGGAAATTAAGATTTGATGTGGTAAAGAAAGAGAAAAAGAAAGCACCGCAAAGCATTAATCATGTCACCTCAATAATATATACTGTCTCTTCCTCCAACCCATCATCTTCATAGACCTGTCTCTTTCTTTTTCCCTTTACTCACGCTACCCATTCTCTCTCTCTCCTCTCTCTCTCTCTCTCTATATATATATATTATATATCTATATCTGTATATCTATATATCTTCCTCTTCCCTTTTCTTTTTCATCTCCAATTAACCAAAAATGGACCCATCATCATCACCTTCTCCAATCTCTTTCTCCGATCACAACAAAACCTTCGTCCAATCGTTAATGGATTCCGCCACCACTCCCCACCGTACACCCTCCTTCAAAGAAGACACCTACCACCTCCACAACCTCAAACCTTCCGAAAAGAAAGCTCTTCAAGACCTCAAAGACAAACTCACCGCCACTTCCGATGACCATTTCTCCATGTGGGGAGTCCCATTACCGCCACCAACCACCACCATCGCCGACGCCGAGAAATCCGATGTCATTCTCCTCAAATTCCTCCGAGCTAGAGACTTCAGGGTTCAAGATTCTCTCAACATGCTCCTCAAATGTCTCTCATGGCGAAAAGATTTCGGAGCTGACACCATTGTTGAAGAGGATTTAGGGTTCGAAGAACTTGAAGGTGTGGTGGCGTACATGAATGGATACGATCGAGAAGGGCATCCCGTGTGTTATAATGCTTATGGGGTTTTCAAAGATAAAGAAATGTATGAAAAAATCTTTGGAGATAACGAGAAATTGAAGAAGTTTCTGAGATGGAGAGTTCAGGTTCTTGAAAGAGGGATTCAGATGCTGCATTTTAAGCCCGGTGGGATTAATTCAATCATTCAGGTTACAGATCTTAAAGACATGCCAAAAAGAGAGCTTAGAGTTGCTTCTAATCACATTCTTTCACTCTTTCAAGATAATTATCCAGAAATGGTGGCTCGTAAGGTACTTTAACTGCTAATCTCTGTATCCATGGCTTGTACTGTACAACTCAATAATGCACATGGGTTGTTGAAAAGAAGAAAGCTTGCGTATTTGTACTTTGGGGTACAACTCATTGATGCAAACTGTGAAAACTTACTTTAGATAAAAAGACCACACCTTTTGTTGTACACTACAACCTAGATGAAAGTTGGAAACTTGTGCTTCGTTGTGTTATACAGTACAACTCATTACTGCACATATTCAGTTCAAACAGTTTGTGGTGGCTTATCTGTTCAGTTGAGGGTCATCGAAGATTTTACTAATGAGATGTCTGTTTGGTTCCTAAAAGGATTGAAACCCTGTGCATCAATTACTTGTACACTGCTTCTATTTGAACTTCAAAATACTACAAGGTATGTGCATTGGAATGTTGTACAGTACAAGTCATATGCACCTGTATTTATATGAAATTAACAGATGGATACATTTAGCATAGCAATGTTATAGCGGTGCATTTGTATGTGTGCTAAAACGAGTTGTTACCATACAGCACTAGTAGCAACAATGAGTTGTACGGTTCAACAGAATTATGTTGTGCATAAATGTCTTGTACGTTACAACCCTCAATGCACACCTAAAATGGTTTTCTGTAACCAAAAAAGGTAACGTGTTGGTAAATACTGTATTCTCTTTATTTTTGGCAGTCCGCTTTCTATCTAGAGCTGTTATTTTCACATCCAGATGAATACTGTTTTAAGCGACTTGTTCATTAAGCATATATAACTGTACGTTTGTCTGAATTTGTGAATCTTTCCCCTGGTAAAAGGTTTACTTTTTCAGGGTTTTCATACGTATGTCTGTAATTCATTGCTGTTTTTTGGCTGACGGATTAGCTGATGGGACAAAAACAGCAATGAATTACAGACCCCATGAACGAAAACTGTAATTTCGAAAGCACAAAGGCGTTTAGTTGATAATTTATACGACAAATAGTATTTTTTTTGGGTATTTTTTAAACTGATTTATATGATATGGGTGTAGATCTTCATCAATGTACCATGGTACTTCAGCATGCTGTACTCAGTGTTCAGCCCATTTTTGACTCAACGAACCAAGAGCAAGTTTGTCCTTTCTAAGGAAGGAAATGTTGCAGAAACTCTTTACAAGTGAGTATATAGCTACGCTTTTCTTTAACCTCACTTTTCTTTCCATTTTTGAATTCTTTAATTTCATTTTATTATTATTTTGGTTATAATTTGGGTGGGGTGGGGTGGGGTGTAGGTACATAAGGCCAGAGGATGTACCAGTACAGTATGGTGGACTGAGTCGACCCAGTGAGTTGAAAACTGGTCCACCCAAACCAGCTTCTGAGTTCACAGTCAAAGGTGGAGAAAAAGTTAATATTCAAATTGAGGGCATTGAGGTAATTTACCTATTGTCTACTTCTGCAACTTTTACCAAACAGCGGGTAAATCCTTAAATTTGGTTAAGCAAATTTGCGGATTTACTTTTCTAGACGTTATCTGTCAGATGATTTCCGAAGCTATTTTGTGAAATTGTTAGGCAAAATTGGCTTAGGGTTGTTTGACAATTGCTGAATGATTTAGCGCAAAATGATTAAGTGGTTAGAATAATTAAGAGGCTTTCATGATATAGTGTAAAATGAAATATAAGTGTTTGGTAATTGTTTACAATAAAATTAGCGCGCTTAATGGTTAAGGGAGGCTCAGGATACAAAAATTATTCAGAGAGTTTTAGAACCAGTAAGAGACACACTTTTGTTTTGCCAAACAAGATTCGCCTTTTAATGATTCAGAGTCTGCCACTTAATGGAACTATTAAGAGGTAAAGAATTAACTTGTGTGTGCATTCATAGTTGTACGTTACATTGATTAGACCATTTGAATAGAGGTTAATTCCTTGCTTTAATGGATTGTACCGCTTGCAATAAACCAATACTCCCCTACAATAAAATGTAGTGCATGCTATGTTGGGTGGTACATCTTGCAATAAAAGTTGTACCATCGTCCTATTTGGAAAAAAGGTTTTACGATATATTGAAAGAAAGAACTTGAGCTACTATTTTTGGTAGATGTTAGGTTTGCATACATCTTATCCTTACCATACACGGGGGATTCCTGGTATTCCGGAGTGAACAGGGCTTGTGATGTACAAATGGTGATGCACATAGTACAACTTATTGTTTGGTTTTGTGTAGGCTGGGGCAACGATAACTTGGGATATTGTCGTTGGAGGGTGGGATTTGGAATACAGTGCTGAGTACGTCCCTATAGCCGACGGAAGCTACACGATTGCGGTGGAGAAGTCGAGGAAGATGAGCCCTACCGAAGAGGCCGTTCACAACTCGTATACCGCAAAAGAAGCCGGAAAGTTGGTTTTATCGGTTGACAACTCGGCTTCCCGGAAACGGAAGGTTGCATCCTACCGCTATTTGGTTCGGAAATCTACCATCGTCGTTATGTGAGTTTCTTTCTGTATGGTGTTTGTTACGTCTAATTTTAGTGATTTTGGTTCGATCGAGAACGTAATGAAGCAATATTTGTCTACGTAATATGTAATATGTAATATGTAACATGTAAGTTGTAACGTAAGAGTCGGTTGTATTAGAGTGCCTAAGTAGAATAAGAGTATATTAACTTAGACGAGCGTTATAAAGGTGTGATTGTAGACAATGGTCGTTGTTTCACATCCTTGTCGTAATTTTTTTGGTAACTGTGAGCATCTTATAACGACGGACCCACAAAATATTTGAAGCAGTGGCACTGTTTAGACCGTAATAGCCACAAACTAAAAGTGTACCCTACAATACAGCGGGGTAGTGAAATCTGCTTTCTTTTGTTGTTTGTAATTCTTCATTTTATTTTTTGGACAAATCTAAAGATGAGTTGGTTATTATCACTCTTAAAAACCATTCTTGATGCATATATATACTATTTGTTGATGTATTTATACTATCTTATTAAGGGGCTGTTTGTTTGGCTCTTAATGGTTACATTAAGAGCCAATCTCTTAATCGGTAAGAGGTCAGGCTGTTTGGCAAAAAAAAAAAGCTCTGAATGGTTACATTTTCCCTCTTAACCATTTTGCATCTAATGGGTCACTAAACCATTCAGACTCCTCCTTTTCCATATTTGCCCTCTCTCCCAACATCACACATCGCTCACAGGTCACAGCTCCTCCCCACGTCGCCGGTCTTCAAATCCCAGCCCCTCCCCACGTCGCCGGTCTTCAAATCCCAGCCCCTCCCCACGTCGCCGGTCTTCAAATCCCAGCCCCTCCCCACGTCGCCGGTCTTCAAATCCCAGCCCCTCCCCACGTCGCCGGTCTTCAAATCCCAGCCCCTCCCCACGTCGCCGGTCTTCAAATCCCGACGGCGACTAGGCCCGCCTCTGCTTCTCCGACGGCGACAATCCTTCTCCGACGGCGACAATCCTTCATCTCCTTCTCTCACTCCGTATAATCCCATCAATGAAATCGGTAGCGTCTCATCCAGTTTATGAACATAACCCAAATCCAAGAGTGAAACCCTAAATCAAATCACAGAACCCAAAAATAAAATCGAAATAGAGAGAGAGAGGCCAATAACTAGAGAGAGAGAGAGAGGCCAAGAACTGGTGGTCATCATCGAAATAGAGAGACAGAGAGAGACCAGAGAGAGAGAGAGGCCAAGAAGCTGATCTTAAAGTGATAACTATTGAGTAGCCAAATTTGGGGAAAATTCTGAAATTTGTTAAGGGTTAAAATGGTAATTTGTTGTCATTCAGAGAACAATTACCAAACAACCTTGTTTCATTCTGCACTTAACCATTCTGACCCTCTTAACCATTCTGACCTCTTAATTATTCTGCACTAAATCATTCAGCAACTGCCAAACAGCCCCTAAGTAATTGATTAATTTACTTTATGATTCTTTAATTTTAAATGTTTCATTTTAAATCTTTATCAAATTAACATACATAATCGTATATCAATTAAAACATGTTTAAAAAATACATTTTTATTTTAACAAGTTACACCATTATAATCGTTTCGTTAATACCTTCGAAATGAGTCCAATATTAAATCTAAATTAAATTGTAATATAATATTTAAATTAAATAAATTACACAAAAAACAAGAACTTTTGAATAGTTAATTTGATACTGATATCGATATATATTTTTTTCAAAATTTTATGAGATCTTCAAATTCATACTTTATTGAAACATAAAAATATTATCGTTTTCCCAAAACCACATAAAACCACACGATAACATCGACAAAATCAAATAATAAAACAAAACACTAAAATCAAGATATATGTCGTTGTATCGTATGATTACTTTTCCATTTTATCTTAAACTATATATCAATATGGGTTTCAAACTAAAGATTATAAAATTCTAATTTTATGGTTTAATTTAAGTTTCATCATAATTTAGATTAAAAAATAAAAATATATTATTTTAGTTTAACTATGATTTGTTTTATAAAAATAATGATGAAGTATTTTGTTAGGGGAAAAATCATTTAATTTGAATAATAACTATATTTTTAAGATATTTTATATTTAAAATTAAAAAGATAATATACTTTAATTAAAAAAATGAGATGTTTTATCTCGGATTTTCTTGTGTTTATCGGTTAATTCTATAAAAAGTTTTAAAATTTTAGATATTAAAAAAATAAGTGTTTCATCTTATAATGCTTATTTAGTATTTATTATGTTTATTTACATTTAATTATACGAATTCAAATTTGAAGCTTTATTAAGTTGTACTTATTCTTAATCAACTTGTAATTTTGAATTTTAAGTAATATGTATTAATAAATAGTATTTGATGCATAAGAAGTAGTTTTTAAAAGTTTAACCTAAATACTTTATAATATAGTATACATATTCAATATAGTTTATAAAACATTTAATTTCAAGTAATTTCATTAATAAAAATAATAAAAAAATATTTTATTTTTTATAAATAATTATTTTTTAAAGAATTTGTTGGAGATGTATGTGAAAAAGAAAGTACATGCATGAATGATGGTGGCATGGGGGATATGATATGATGATGGTCACAAGCTCCCAATGATGGCCCATGTTTTCCCTTTAACCAGTGGCACTGTTACTATTGTTCCCTTCCGTTTTTAATTTTTTAAAAATTATTTAAATATAATAACATATTTTAATATAAGAAATTAATAGAAATAATCATTTTCAGGTTTTGGATTTATTTTTTAATTTATTTTTTAAATTTCGAAAATATCATTATCTTCGTAAGTGACACTTCCTCAATTTACAAAGGGGTCAAAATATAAAAAAAAGTTTCTCCAAATATTAAATCTGTAAATCAGTATAAATCTACAGATTTGATCCCTATATTTGCGGACCATATTCAAAAACTTTTTTCTTACACTTTGACCCATTTGCAAGTAGAGGAGTTGCTACTTGCGGAGGTAGTGAAATTTTCGAAGTATTGGGAGAAAATGGCTAAAACATAAATCCAGAACCTGAAAATTACTATCTTAATTAATATCTCTTCAATATATTAATTAATAATTTATATCATGAGAGAAATTTCTCCAAATTTTGAGATTTCTTTATGTCTCTCTCTTCTTTTCTCTATTTTAACATACACTAAGCACAACCGTTAGAGCAAATAAAACTCCAAAATCTCTAGTTTAACAAAGTTGTTGGATATTCTATAAGGGTACCTGAACCGATAACGTAATGAGCTTGTTCTTTGGTGCTCATTAGTTTGTGTCCCTCAAAACAACTAGATGTTTGTCTAATTGTTAACTCCAAGGCCCCATAAAAATAGTCGATGTTTGCATAAGTTGGTCAAGATATACACGATTATCCTAAAAACCTTTTTATGAGCAACATTAATTATCGATGTTATTACTTATATGATTTTGGAAAAAATGAAAAGTTTGACTTGATCAACCAACTGGAAATGATCATTAAAAGGTCCTTTTGTTCCTCATGTTTACGGGCAAAATGTGTTGGGATACGGGAGCCATACACTCAGCTGAAAATAATTGTATCCCTCCAAAGATCCATACGAAACGAGGTAGAATGGGTGTTTCAAAATTTTACCAGTTCCAAACAACAACCCTTTGATGCCATATCTAAATCTAGCAACGAACTCTGCCCGTTGCCTCCAAGGTATCCATGCAAATGTACCGAATCATCTTATTGTCCTAAGACAAGAGAGGAAGTCCTCTTCCTTCCCAGACGTTAGATATAGTTTCCAACTCTTTGGAAGAAGGAAGTAGGAGCTGCTGGTGGAATATAGAGAGGGATAGGATCCTATGAACACTTCTCGCAATCCTTTAATTTCTTATCTGATGAAAAACCAACGAGTACCTTTCTCAAAAGGCATCCCTCTCTATTTACATGTTTAAAATGATAGTGCTTATCTAATAGGCATATGGCATGAAGACTGGCACACAAATAGGGAAGATCTTATATCTCCTCTAATCCTTTTCTTTTTCTTTACATAATGTATAAAAGACTTGGCAAGTCTCTACTTGTCTGGTCATATACACTTTTATATAACAAATAAGACAAAATCCGAATTCCTCTTCATTAATCAGATATAATAATTAAATAACTTATTTAATTATTTGCTCTCCTTATTTAGATATGCATTTTATGCATGTGACCTTTTGGGACTTTGTCATGTTAACAATAATTATAAATCCTATTTATAATTATAAACAAAGAGCAACATCTAGCAATACATCATCATTAACCAAACGATAAAGTTTGGTGAGTCAGCTAATCAACAAACTGTATGATCATTATCAGTGTACATGTTTATGTCCCTTCGTTCAGATATCCAGATCGAACACGATGTAGGGATGTGTCATCCTCATTATGTCCGATTCTTAGTTTCTCGATTCCGAAATATACTGATAAGACAGATATCAACATCCTATATTGATCATTTGAGCATGCATTCACTTCCTCAGTACTATTCAATCGATGGGCCCATAGATTTCACTCTCGTCATACAACAGGAACAAATCATATCTTGATCCATGTTAGTACTACTAAGTGATACATGATATACCCAACAACAGCTCTGTCACCTAGTTACGAAATGATTAGAATCAGTTATCAAAGTACACCACTCACACAAAGCAAAAACCATGATCTCAAGCAGTGGCGGACGCAGGAAAATATATTGTAGGGGGCACGAATTAGCATATTGATCAAACCAAGTCGGACAAAAAGTTCTATCCGTTTTTACACTATACTCCAACCAATTAGCATATTGATCAAACCAAGTCGGACAAAAACGTCTTCCTTTACTCCCAACAATTTTTTTTGGAAATGCATGACCCGTGGTTGACAAGGTCCTCTAAGCAAATATTTTCTCCTTATTTCATCCCTTTGATTAGGATGATATTCCGAAATACCTAACCTAAAACATTTACCAATTACCACAAAATTAACCAACAAAATTAACCTAAAATACCTAACCTAAAGCATTTACCAATTACCA